TGATGAGAAAAATCTGTATATAGATGAAATATCCTGCATACATTCTGATGCCTATGTGCTTCTTGTTGTGACACTTTGTATCTGTATATATTCTGATCACTATCTATGTTTGTTTTGTAACTTTACATGTATATATATTTTTTTATCATTGTGTTATATCTGTACTGTAACTACTGTATGTGTCTGCATATATTCTTTACTGACCATGGGTTCTCTGATTTCAGGGGAGATGAAGGTATGTCTCCTGGATTATCATCAGGTAATTTCTCATCATCACTAGCAAGATCTACAACATCGCAACCTTAGCACAGGTCAATGCAACGATAACATTGCTATATACTGGTGTTTTCATCAATCTGTTTTTGACCATTACCTCTATATTTAGTAGCTGTGACACAGCTGTAATTATCATTTTGTAAAAGAGCCACTTAGAGCTCAATAATTTTTATATATGTTCAAATCGGTATATTCTAATGCATGTGCACTGCTTGTTGTGACACTGTTGGTGTCTGTGCATATTCTGATTGCTATCTTGTTTGTTTTGTTGCTTTATGTTTATATATTTTGCTTGCCGCAATATGTTTGTGTTGTAACTATTGAATGTCTGCATATGAAAACTTTAGTGCCAAATAGCTTTGATACACTCCAATTTGCCTACCGCAGTAACAGAAGTGTAGACGATGCTCTTTCTATGTGTTTACACAAAGTTCTCGAACATCTCGATTGTAAAAATGCCTATGTTAGAATTTTATTTGTTGACTATAGCTCAGCATTTAATACCAGCATTTTGTACCAAGCAAATTGTATTTTAAACTTTTGGATGATCTTAATTTTCCACCAGCACTCTGCGATTGGATTTTAGATTTTCTTTTAAACAGAAAACAGTCAGTAAAAGTCGGTTTTAACTTCTCGGACACTATAAGTTTTAAACACTGGCACACCCCCAGGGCTGTGTCTTAGCACCTTGTTTATATACGTTATTCACCCACGACTGTGTGGCGAGGGAGGAAAATACATTTTTAATGAAGTTTGCCGATGACACAACTTTAGTCGGCTTGATACACCATAATGATGAGATGTCATACAGGCAGTCGGTTACAAGTTTAGTAAATTGGTGCACAGACAATGACTTGATATTAAATGTGAGCAAAACAAAAGAAATGATCATAGACTTCAGAAGAAATCAGATAAGTAAAAATCCCTTGGAAGTTAACGGTAAAGCGGTCGAACAGGTTTCTAATTATAAATTACTAGGGGTTCAGCTGAATAATAGGTTAACCTAGGGCGATAACATCATGAAGCTATTGAAAAAGGCATGTCAACGAATGTATTTCTTAAGGAAATTGAAAGCTTTTACCAGTAATGTGTTTATTTTAACGAACTTTTACAGGTGTGTTTTAGAGAGTATTTTAACTTATTCAGTAACTGTTTGGTATGGACGTGCAACTGTGGAGGAGAGGAACAAGTTGGAAAAGATCGTCGAAACTGCAGGGATTGTAATTGGAACAGATCTAACTCCCATCCATACTATTTATCTAGACAGGACTAAAAAGAAAACATTATCAATAATGACAGACAGTTCCCATCCAGCCCATACCCTTTTTAAATTTTTACCTAGCAATTCGAGACTCTTAGCTTTTAAGGGCAGTAAGCGATTTTTAAATAGCTTTTATCCTTCGGCAGTAACTATTTTTAACTCTAACATGTAATTTTAATTTTCATTCTTTATATTTCAATGGCGCTACTACAGGGCAAAAGATTCCCGATTTTATATATTTGTATTTTATTGGCTTAATAAATTATTATTATTATTATTATTATATATTCTTTATTGATGATTTGTTCTTTGATTTCAGGAGAGATGAAGGTGTATCTCTGATTATCATCATACTGAGGGCAACTAATTTATGAACTCATCATCGCCAGCAAGATCTATAACCTCGCAGCCTCAGCGCATGTCAGTGCAACGATAATATTGCTATACTTTGTTGTTTTCTTTAATCCCCTTTTAACCCTCACCACTATATTTAGTAGCTGTGTAAATGATTTTGTAAAAGGGCCACTTAGATCGCATGGATTTTTATATATGTTCTAATTGACAAGGGTTGATGTGAACTTGTAGTGGTTGAGGTGGGATGGGGCTGAGAAAAAGTCTCTATACAGAAAATATTTCATGCATACATTCTGATGCCTGTGCACTGCCTGTTGTGATGCTTTATGTGTCTCTATATATTCTGATCACTATGCATGTTTGTTTTGTCGCTGTATGTGTTTATATATAATTTGATGTGTACTCTTTATGTAGCATGTCCTTGTTCCAAAAGATGTAGCATGTCCTTCTAGCTTCTCACAATAGGCTTTGGAGGCTGGTCAGACTTCTGTCTTGCATGGGATAGCATGTGTCCCTTTACAAATACACTTTTTCTTCGTTTTTTCCAGCTGCCTTTACCGTACAGCAGAGATGAAGGTGTATCTCTGATTATCATCATACTGAAGACAGCTAAACTGGTCATCACATCAAGATCTACAACATTGCAGCCTCAGCACAGGTCAATGCAACAATGATATTGATGTACTTTGTTGTTCTCTTCAATCCCCTTTTGACCCTCACCACTTTTTATAGTTCCTGGAAAATTATCAATTTGTAAAAAGGTCACTTTGGGGCCATTCCAACAGATATTTTGAGTGCTCTCTCTCCCTGGGAAGTCTGACTAAATTGCTATCAACTTAACCAGCTTCTATGTCTGTCACACCTAGTAAAGCTGTTAGGTGGTAATTATCTTTACCCCCTAGCTAATTTGATAGGCGTGACTATCAATCTAGCCAGTTAAGTTGATAGCAATCTAATGAGACTCCCTAGGGAGTTGGACTGATCCAGATGGATCGATCTAAGCATGGGAACCCAGTCTTAGATCCCACTCAGTTTTATATAGCTTCAAATTGACAAGGGTTAATATGGGTTGGGGTGGGATGACACTGAGAAAAAATCTGTACATAGATTAAATTTCCTGCATACATTCTGATGCCTGTGCACTGCCTGTTGTGACACTGTTTGTGTCTGTATATATTCTGATCACTATCTATGTTTGTTTTGTAGCTTAATGTTGATGTTTGTTTTGATCACTCACACTGTGTAATAATTGTGTTGTAACTACTGTAGGGCAGAAACCACTAAATCAACCAATCACTGACTGTCATAGACAAATGTAGTTCAGTGAGAAAAAATTAGTGCTTTTTTTCATTATATTTTTAAGTTTTAAGACTAGAAGAAAGACCAACAAACTTTTTTATATTTCACAACCAATTTATTACAGAGTAGTATCTTGAAATCATACATTTTCTTTTAATTACATGCTCTCTTTGAATAGCTGTGATCAGGAAGTAGAAGTTTTGGCATAGATATGCATCTTCTGTAGTCATTACTTTTCAATGCTTTAGATCTGTCATATCTTCTGTAACGGCTAAGGATTCTCCTTCTAGCTCTTAACTTAAATGCAACTGTCTTTTTGTGATTTACTCTCATTTTCATCTGTTTTTCATCTTTCTCCAGATATTTAAGGACTGAAGAAGTTGGCACAATACCAACAGAGGCCATCTTACTCAAAGTGGATTGCTTAAGTCCATTATTCCGTAAGTGAACTGCACTGTGAATCCTGCCTGTGAAGTTCCAGAAAAAGCTGACAACTTAATCATTAGTTTTCTGAAATGTTCGGTTTAAAGACTCCACTTTTGTGTGTTGGTATTTAGTTTTGTTGATTCAGTTGCCCTTGGGCCCAGTCTATAACTTAGGCACTGTCTTTGGATGTGCATATNGTACCCAGCCTAGCAGTGAGTATTATGCAGGGAAGGACAGGAAGCCTGATTTCCTGTATCCTCACAACACACACAAACAAACATAAACAACAGTTGTGACAATTAACCTTGCACTTGACTTTAAGTAATTTTTAAATATTTTAAAATCTTTTTATTAGTAATTTTCCACTTCTCACATTTTATTTCTCAGCAAAGTGCACTTAAACTGGTCACAACCAGTTAAGATGCATATCTCACATTTTCACACATGTCCATCATCTGGTGTCCAAATTTGAAAACAATTGAAACAAATTCAGGCACAGAAATTTGCATTTAACTTTTTATCACTCATGAAATTGTGCTTTCTCACCAGGTGCAATGTTGGCTAAAGTGGCCCATACAGTAACCACATTTTCAACTTGACAGGGCTCAGTCACCAAGATACCGTTCTCAGTCATATTGGGCGGAGCAGTTGGCAGTGTATTAAGGTTTTAATTTTTGGTGTCAGAAGGTAAGAACAGCGGGTGGTGGTTTCTGTGAAGGGCAGAAACCACTAAATCAACCAATCACCAACTCTTATAGACGCGTGTAGTTCAGTGGGAGAAAATTAGTGCTATTTTTTTTTCTTTTTTTTTCCTGACATTTCTTGTGTGTTGCTAGGGTTAATTTTGGTATCAACTAGCAGGCTAGGGAGTAAATTACTGCCAGTTTTTATTTTTTTTTATTTTTTTTTTTTTTCAGGACCAGGCACAGGTGCGGTGCAGTGCAGTCGTGAGACCTCTGGAGGAGTGGTTGCTGACTGTGAGTGGTGTAGTGGTTTGTTCACAAACAGAGGGGTGCACATGTTCAAGTCATGCCGGTAAGAAAGTTCAGTTGATGACAGTATATTTTTTTGCCATTGGGAGTTATGTCAGTGTGTCTGCTGTCCAAGGGGATGGGAAATGTTTCACCCAGTGATTTTGTTCATACAGTTTAGCAGGCATTTCTTAGTGTGGTCGTCAATGGGAAATTATTTGGTGGTTTCTGGGAAAATGACAACTGTTCACTTTTGGCTTAGGGTGCTTTCCCAGACAATTAGATCGATTTAAAGATTAAAGTTTAGATCGACCTAACTCCCTGGGGGTTCACACTAAATTGCAGTCAGCCAAACGGGCACCATAGTTAATTACCCAATAACAGCTTTTAGTAGGCGGAACAGACGCTTAAGCCTGCCAAGCTGACAGTAATCTAGTGAGACTCCCCACAGGGATAGATCGATCTAAAAATCTATGGAAATGGGTTGTTAGTTTCTATATTTAGAGCAGCACAGGCTATAAAAGGGTGGTCTTGCATTATTTCAAACACAGAAATGGCTAATCAGCAATTTCTTGTAGATTTGAGTGATAAATTACATGCAAGATTACATAACACACAGGAAAGATACTGTTGGCTGTGGACTGGGGGCACCAGTTGTTCCAGTGGGGTTCGTTATGGGATGATGAGGGTTACATTTCCTGGGGCCAGACACTCCGTTACTGTTGGAGTGCACAGGGTGGCATTTATGCTGAAGGAGAGGATTTTAAACATACCGAGAGGGATAGAAGTATCTCAACTGTGTGGAGTCACTCTGTGCTGTAACCATCTCACAGCAGAGCCTCACGGAATCAACAATAACAGATTACATTGTCGTAATGTGGGCAGGTGCCTCTGACACAGACAGAGGTCAAATTGTGTACATGATAATTGTTATTATTATTGCTGTTATTATTATTATTAATTTTACATTTACTTAATTTATAGATTTCTCAATTATATTTCTAAGTTTTAAGACTAGAAGAAAGACCAACAAACTTTTTTATATTTCACAACCAGTTTATTACAGAGTAGTATCTTGAAATCATACATTTTCTTTTAATTACATGCTCTCTTTGAATAGCTGTGATCAGGAAGTAGAAGTTTTGGCATATATATGCATCTTCTGTAGTCATTACTTTTCAATGCTTTAGATCTGTCATATCTTCTGTAACGGCCAAGGATTCTCCTTCTAGCTCTTAACTTAAATGCAACTGTCTTTTTGTGATTTACTCTCATTTTCATCTGTTTTTTATCTTTCTCCAGATATTTAAGGACTGAAGAAGTTGGCACAATACCAACAGAGGCCATCTTACTCGAAGTGGATTGCTTAAGTCCATTCTTCCGTAAGTGAACTGCACTGTGAATCCTGCCTGTGAAGTTCCAGAAAAAGCTGACACCAATAATGTCTTTCTGGCTGGTCACATTTTCTGCTTCAGTATACTCTGTCTGAGTGGCTGGCTGGTATGGTGTTTTGTTCCCTCCACTGAACAGACTATTATTATATCTCCCATCTCCTTTCACTGCTATGGGCTGTCCTCCATACCTTCTCAGATCTTGAATGCGACGTAGATTTTCACGGCACTGTTGCATGTCAGCTTTGTTTAGCTCCATTATAGCTGCACTGACTTTGTTAGCCTGCTTTTGCATGGATGATGGGCTGGTCGGGGTCACATTGCTTGCCATTAGAATCTGTCTCATTGCTGTGTTAGAGATCATATTTTGAGACAGGCCTAATTGCAAGCCTGCTTTCACAGTTGCTGCTCTCCGGCCACGCTGCTTGCTTTGGACTTCATTGTACAGTTTCTGCTTGCTTCCCTGTCCTGTACTGACATGTTTCACATTTTAGTCCCATTGACCAAGCCACTCCCCACTTGCTCTCTGCCTCTCTGTCCCAAACCATTGAGCCAGTGCACTCGGCTGTACGCTCTGACAAGACTTTGTTGACCAGATTGACATTTTTTTCTGCTGAAACCACGTTGTATTCATCATCTGGGGGTTGGTGCTGGCTGCTGGTCAAATTCTCTGACTTGGCCCTCCTATGTCCACGTATGTCGGGTGCATCAGGGTTGCTGCTGAGGGTTGTTGGTGGCCCGACAGTGGGTGGAGAGGAGGCTGCCTGGTACAACTCTTGGCTGAGTCTTGTGTATCTTCTCACAATAGGCTCTGGAGGCTGGTCAGACTTCTGTCTTGCATTGGATAGCGTGTGTCCCTTCACAAATACACTTTTTCTTTGTTTTTTTTCCAGCTGCCTTTACGGTACGACATGGTGGTAAGAGAGTGACTACTGAGACAGGAGCCAGGGACAGGGCATTTTATAGCATCAGCTGCCCATTGTCTCTCCCAGGTGTGCAAGAAAGCAGGGTACATGACAACAAAAGGTGTGAACAGTGATCGGAAGTGGAAGTCCCTGTAAACAGCAAACTGCATGGCCCCAGTGCAGGGGGGGGTGTACCCAGCCTAGCAGTGGGTATTGTTATGCAGGGAAGGACAGGAAGCCTGATTTCCTGTATCCTCACGACACACACAAATAAACAACAGTTGTGACAATTAACCTTGCACTTGACTTTAAGTAATTTTTAAATATTTTAAAATTTTTTTATTAGTAATTTTCCACTTCTCACATTTTATTTCTCAGCAAAGTACACTTAAACTAGTCACAACCAGTTAAGATGCGTATCTCAGATTTTCACACATGTCCATCATCCGGTGTCCAAATTTGAAAACAATTGAAACAAATTCAGGCACAGAAATTTGCATTTAACTTTTTATCACTCATGAAAATGTGCTTTCTCGACAGGTGCAATGTTGGCTAAAGTGGCCCATACAGCAACCACATTTTCAATTTGACAGGGCTCAGTCACCAAGAGACCGTTCTCAGTCATATTGGGCGGAGCAGTTGGCAGTGTATTAAGGTTTTAATTTTTGGTGTCAGAAGGTAAGAACAGTGGGTGGTGGTTTCTGTGAAGGGCAGAAACCACTAAATCAACCAATCACCAACTGTTATAGACGCATGTAGTTCAGTGGGAGAAAATTAGTGCTTTTTTTTTTCTTTTTTCCTGACATTTCTTGTGTGTTGCTAGGGTTAATTTTGGTATCAACTAGCAGGCTAGGGAGTAAATTACTGCCATTTTTTTTTTTTTTTCAGGACCAGGCACAGGTGCGGTGCAGTGCAGTCGTGAGACCTTTGGCGGAGGGGTTACTGACTGTGATTGGTGCAGTGGTTTGTTTACAAAAAGAGGGGTGCACATGTTCAAGTGATGCCGGTAAGAAAGTTCAGTTGATAACAGTATATTTTTTTGCCATTGGGAGTTATGTCAGTGTGTCTGCTGTCCATGGGGATGGGAAATGTTTCACCCAGTGATTTGTTCATGTAGTTTAGCAAGCATTTCTTAGTATGGTTGTCAATGGGAAATTATTTGGTGGTTTCTGGTAAAATGACAACTGTTCACTCTTGGCTTAGTTTCAATATTTAGAGCAGCACATGCTATAATCATTTCAAACACAGAAATGGCTAATGAGCAATTTCTTGAAGAATTGAGTGACAAATTACATGCAAGATTGCATAACACACAGGAGAAATACTGTTGGCTGTGGACACTTTCGAGGACACTTTAATAGCCTTGGTTTTTAATCCTTATGGTAGTTAAACGACTATTATCAGTGCGTTAATTATAGGGAATTAAACCTTAAGCCGTTGGGACCCTGCAGCGATAAATACTACTCTAACTCGGCCTAAATTTACTCAGATCGCTTTTAGCCACCCACTGTGAGCAGGACACCATCATCAATAGAAAAGTACTCCTGCACTTTCATTTAGATAAACAGGGTGATAAACCCGATAGGGTGAGCGGGGTGAAAATACCGGACTTTGTGAGTCAGAACAATAGCAGCCCGTGGATCGCGTCGCGTATTTCTCGAGTTAAATGCTCTCAAATTGCCTTATACTGTTGAATAACCACGGAGAAAAAGATAATAACTGAAAGTCCATGAATAATCCAACCTTTTATAATACTTTTTTTTACATTTCAAATGAACATTTTGCTGTTGCGAAACATGCTAGTAAAAATCACACACTGTCTTTCCCGACTCGCGTTTATTCAATTTGATGCACAGGGTGATAAATTAAGAAATTTAACAGTTATAATTATACCATTGTCAAGGTATTTAATTTCAATTTTGAAATAAATAGTGTATGTATCACAACTGCATAAATTTTCATAATTTGTCTGGTCATACACCATGATACACCGCAGTAGGGTTATAAGATTGCAGTCATTTTAATTATTCGTATGACAAACAAACTGCCAAATTATGAAAGGGGACACCTTCCGGACCTCCATACATACGGCACCTGGCAAAGCTGATAGACAAAAAGGCAATTTTCAAATTTTCAGCGCGAGATTGTTTGCAATCCGAGAGAGACGAGGAGGCAATTTTCATATCTGCTTAAAAGACTTCGTTAGCCAAAGAGCAAGACGAGAACGCAAGTTTCGTATCATCAGCTGGAGATCGTTCTCGATCTAAGCGAGACGAAAAGGCAATTTTCATATTCATTCATGGGAATTGGTTCGNGTAAATTACTGGCATTTTTTTTTTTTTTTTTTTTTTTTCAGGACCAGGCACAGGTGCGGTGCAGTGCAGTCATGAGACCTCTGGCGGAGTGGTTACTGACTGTGAGTGGTGCAGTGGTTTGTTTACAAAAAGAGGGGTGCACATGTTCAAGTGATGCCGGTAAGAAAGTTCAGTTGATAACAGTATATTTTTTTGCCATTGGGAGTTATGTCAGTGTGTCTGCTGTCCATGGGGATGGGAAATGTTTCACCCAGTGATTTGTTCATGTAGTTTAGCAAGCATTTCTTAGTATGGTTGTCAATGGGAAATTATTTGGTGGTTTCTGGTAAAATGACAACTGTTCACTCTTGGCTTAGTTTCAATATTTAGAGCAGCACATGCTATAATCATTTCAAACACAGAAATGGCTAATTAGCAATTTCTTGAAGAATTGAGTGACAAATTACATGCAAGATTGCATAACACACAGGAGAGATACTGTTGGCTGTGGACACTTTCGAGGACACTTTAATAGCCTTGGTTTTTAATCCTTATGGTAGTTAAACGACTATTATCAGTGCGTTAATTATAGGGAATTAAACCTTAAGCCGTTGGGACCCTGCAGCGATAAATACTACTCTAACTCGGCCTAAATTTACTCAGATCGCTTTTAGCCACCCACTGTGAGCAGGACACCATCATCAATAGAAAAGTACTCCTGCACTTTCATTTAGATAAACAGGGTGATAAACCCGATAGGGTGAGCGGGGTGAAAATACCGGACTTTGTGAGTCAGAACAATAGCAGCCCGTGGATCGCGTCGCGTATTTCTCGAGTTAAATGCTCTCAAATTGCCTTATACTGTTGAATAACCACGGAGAAAAAGATAATAACTGAAAGTCCATGAATAATCCAACCTTTTATAATACTTTTTTTACATTTCAAATGAACATTTTGCTGTTGCGAAACATGCTAGTAAAAATCACACACTGTCTTTCCCGACTCGCGTTTATTCAATTTGATGCACATGGTGATAAATTAAGAAATTTAACAGTTATAATTATACCATTGTCAAGGTATTTAATTTCAATTTTGAAATAAATAGTGTATGTATCACAACTGCATAAATTTTCATAATTTGTCTGGTCATACACCATGATACACCGCAGTAGGGTTATAAGATTGCAGTCATTTTAATTATTCGTATGACAAACAAACTGCCAAATTATGAAAGGGGACACCTTCCGGACCTCCATACATACGGCACCTGGCAAAGCTGATAGACAAAAAGGCAATTTTCAAATTTTCAGCGCGAGATTGTTTGCAATCCGAGAGAGACGAGGAGGCAATTTTCATATCTGCTTAAAAGACTTCGTTAGCCAAAGAGCAAGACGAGAACGCAAGTTTCGTATCATCAGCTGGAGATCGTTCTCGATCTAAGCGAGACGAAAAGGCAATTTTCATATTCATTCATGGGAATTGGTTCGCAAAAGAGTGTCAGTGGCAGAGCGTTATCGATTGTTATTAACCCTCCCTTCCCATTGAAATTTATTATTTTATAAAATATTTTTTCACTTCATCACACTCCCACCCCATTTTGGACAGCCTGTATCCCAATCCTAGAAAAAAGGCTTGGTTCTGGGTGAAATGATGTAATGGAACTTAATTGAATAGCCACAATGTATTTAATTTTAACTGATGATTTTATTACTGGTGAAAACTGAGCTATGATATTTGGCGAATTTAATTTATTCTAAATTTACATTGAACCGTACCTGGGAATTTTGAAAATCTGTGTCTGTCTGAAGAAAAAAAAGGATACAGGGTATATATTAGAAGCGTTTTACATGGGAGGGGGGTCTACATATTCAATTTACAATGTGTATGCGTACATGAAGAACAATTGCATTATTTTAAAGATGGTTTAATTAAGTTTTGTTTACATTAATACAAACGCTGGATAATTTTTACAGAAAGTTAATTGTCCTTAAAACGTCCTATATTTTATCAAATTTTCAGCAAGCAATAATCTGTAAAATGAAGCAAATAAAAACAAACAATTTAAACACTGAAAATTCTTATGAAAATTAGGCTATTTAAGGGCCCTTTTATTACTTTATGTGAAAAACTGACCTATTTAACACAACAACTTTTACCAGAAAGCAAATGTTGATAACAAAATAATACTGAACGTTGCATGCAGTGAATATGTTAGTTCGAATGTTAGTTTGATCTTTTTTCCACAATTTAAAAGTTCAACATTTTTAAAATTTTGACTTGTTACTTAAAAGTCTAATTTAGTTTTAAATTAATAGTCTAACCGAACAAATGTTGATTCCATGCAATTAATGGTTATAAAATTTAAGTTGACTTTTAGATGAAACATTAAAACAAAAATAGTGAGCAACATGGCAACATAAAAATGACCGCAAACAAACCAATAAATTAACACTGTCGTCGGATAAGGCATGTACATGTGCCTACATCGTCTGAATTACCTTTGTAACTGTACTTGTAACCTGAAATTCAATTGCATATAAAAGTGTAAAGTATACAAAAAGGGCACTGAGGTGCATAAGCACTTTTAACAGTTCTATTTAAAAGCTATAACGACTTTTTTGTCGCAATGTAGTTAGCGCGTTCGATATATTGTTGCTTGCACACGTAAAATGAAATATCAGCCACGTGCTCAAAGTCGACTCGACGCGGAATGTACCTGTAGTTATTGTTTTGAAAATAAATTTTCTGTGAATGGTGGCCTGAAAAGATGTTAACAGTGTAACATGAAGTTTTAAAGAACATATTAAACCATGGCAGCATTAGTATATTCATATCAAGCAGACTCTGTGCATATACGCGAGTCATGCCCTGCAATGTGAGGGTCACGCTGTCGAGATCGCCCGGTAAACTGTTAAGGTAAAATTTTAGTAATGCTCGGCAAATCTGTAATGAAATAAGTCAATAAAGTTGTCTAGCGAGATATATGATGCAAGCACGTTCCACAAGGTTATAATTAACTGAAGCAATCTTATTAGCTGATTCAACGAGCCATGCGTCGTTTACCGGATTACATAACAACCAAAGATAAAGTGGTGTTGGCGTCCCGCTGCGGCTTCAACAGCTTATTTTGACAAGGCTCACGCTACATGCTGGCTTGAGAAAAACATCATTGTTAAACCTTAATGCCGATGCATTAATTACTTATGGTCGCATTGTCTTCTTCCCACAGCGACCATTCATAAAAAGGGGGCGTATTTAGGTATTAGACGATTTTTTAATCACCCAACGTGTTAGTGGTGCGTTGTCCTCTGACTAAATCCGTTACCTGTACTGTGACGGAAGCTGTACTAGGCGAATGCGGAAGATATCCATTGTATACCAATTATATGGTAAATAGCATTAAATATTGGTTAATGCTTGTACATATGAATGAAGATCACTATCCTGCTCTTGTATATGATATGCTATTTAAATTAGATTCAAGTGGAAGGCACACTTGGGCCACAGATGTTAAAACGCTGTTATACAGATATGGATTTGGATATGTCTGGGAGGCTCAGGGTGTGGGAAATTCTGTTTTATTTATTAAAGTTTTCAGAGAAAGATTAGAAGATAATGCTGGTCAAATATGGCACAGTAAAATATGTAGGAGCAGCAAACTGGATACTTATTCATTATTTAAGAGTACGTTAACACTGGAGTGTTACTTATTAAGCGTTAAAAATGTAAAACATAGAACCTCACCAGCAAGATTCAGATGCGCAAATCACCTAAATGTTGAGAGCGGTAGATGAAGAGGTATAAAAAGATGCAATAGACTCTGTTTAATCTGTAAAAAACAATATTTATGATGTTGAAGATGAATACCATTTATTAATGACATGTGTAGCATATACAGAATTAAGAGAAAAAATATCTGCAAGTGAATAAAGTGAAAAGAAAGTTTTTTAAGATTAATTACCACAAAAAACACAAATTTAATCTTTAGTCTAGCTGCTTATATATTAAAGCTTTTATATTAAGAAAAGAAATTTTGGATCACTGACATAAATGAATAATCCTTAATACATCTCATGGACTTTACTATTATTATTATTATTATTATTATTATTATTATTATTATTATTATTATTATGTACTATGGGCCGGAGGCCTTGAATAAATTATTATTATTATATTATTATATTATAAAATCATAATAAGGAGCTGACACCACAGCTTTATCTGCCATAGATCGCTATTTTATGTCAGTGTGGACAGGTACATATACCTTAATGTGTCACATACTGTATGCATCATATCATGTGGCAATGCTCTATGTCTTCGTATGTCATGGCGAAGAATATCTTAATTTAGTAGTTTTTGAAAAAAAATTGCAATGAAAAGATTTCCTGTTGCTGACTATACAGGTAAAACTGACATTCACACTGCGGGTTGAAAACGGGTAGTGTGGTCTGATATACCGGTTTATTCTGGATCTGTAGGTGCCGAGTCTGGTAGTTGGGTAGGCCTGCATTTGTTACACTAGTGAATGTGTATATCTATTTCGTGAGTTTTTGGTTCAATTAACAAACTGTGAATCAAGTAAAATGGTTCTTAGTTGTTAAGAATTTTTTTGGTGCCTAAAACATTGTTTTTGAAGAAAAAATACTTTTTTTATTATTGTCATTGTCAACAATTTTTCTTTGTTTATATATATATATATATATATATATATATATATTTGTACAGGACTGATTGTATTAAACAAAGTATAAATAAGCCTTTCTTATATATATTTTTTAATTTACAGATGTAAGGTGTATCAAACTGATCCAGGAAGAAATGAAGTAATTGATCCAGATGGTCTGGGAAAAGCGAGCTGTGGATCTCCCAGCTCAGTCCACTGTTTTCAGTGAACAGTGCACAAAATCTTTGGTAGGACTACCTACCCTTTTCTGTGAAAGTTCAATTTACGCACTCACTGGTGGAAGTGCTGAAAAATACCGATTAGCTGGCTATTCAATGTTCAAGGCAGGCAAGGTAACATCAAAACATCCACACACTTTAGAAAACAATTTCATTAATTTTATGCTCATTTAGTAAGTGAATTCAAATATTTATATTATTGTCTAATCCCACTTTATAGATGACAAACATTATTATTATTGATATTTTTATTATTATTTTTTAAAGGTACAGAACCTTTTAGTCAAGGCTGCCGCTGAATTTTCCCTGCGTGCAATTGTAGGAGCCTGTCTCAGCAAAGACAGATATAAAGTAAAGGTGGACCTGTCATCCGATGGGCAAGTGGTTGCCTCATATTGCACATGTAAAGCTGGTGCAAAAGGTAAATGTAAACATGTTGTGGCTACCCTATTTTACTTGAATGACTTAAAGCTTAGTTGTACCACGGAGGTCCCCAATGAGGTTGCTTGCACTGATAAACCAAGAGAGTGGGGTAAGGCTAGATCACAGACAAAGGTGTCCAATAAAGGGTACCTGAGAAGATCAGCATTGGTCATAATTGTGCTGGAAGTGTGTAGTGGTGTAAGACGTAAAGCTGAGTGGTCATTTTTAGCTGGAGGTGAACGGGAGAGAAGACATGGACTCGGAGGAAAAAGCAGTTTTTCAACATGGTAAGATGATATTTCTTCTTTACGCATTTTGGGCAGAGAATACTTGTAGAAATAATAGGCACTTGGTATGAAAATGTGACATGGAACTTGAAGGTGCAAAATCGTGGTTAATTTGCAGACAACTTGTTTTGAAACGATTTATAGCCTCCCGGGAATTCTTTTCCCTTTACGCTCTTTGTCGCGCTGGCGGTCGATGCAGCATGTATTTCAAAACAAGTTGTCTGCAAATTAACCATGATTTTGCACCTTCAAGTTCCGTGACACTTTTTCATATCATGTGTCTATTGTTTCTACAAGTATTCTCTGCCCCAAATGCATAAAGATGACATGTTATCTTACCGTGTTGTTAGAATAACTGCTTTTTTCTCCACCCCATGTCTTCATTCCCATTCACCTCCAGCTAAAAATGACCACTCAGCTTTATGTCTTACACCACTACACGTCACTTCCAGCACTATTCTGACCAATGCTGATCTTCTCCGGTGCCCTTTATTCCTTTTTGGGTTTGTAGTTTGTGAAGCATGTTCCTGGGAAGGAGCCCGGAAATGAAGAAATCCAGAAAAGGAGGAGCAATTATGATGTTTTGCCCCCATGTAGATGCACCCTGCAACCAAGAGTAGATGCTCTGGTCAACAACATGCCAGCAAACTCACACAGGAGATCACTGTTGCTTATGCTGTGGTGCAGTAATGTAAGTATAAAACATTACTTCCAGTTGTACTAAGCAAGTATTTAATGTTTTAACCATGTTTCTTTATAAACAGAATTTACTGTCAATGTGTAATGCATTATAACCAGCAATGATGTGCACAGTACTTTTTTTTTGTTCTATGTTCTAAATTAAATGTGAAAACCTGTTAAATTTAACTGTTTTCATACATCAACCAACATAATATTTTGTTTAATTGCAGAAACCACAAGAAAGTACCTGTAATGCCTTGCGAGTCCCACCTGTCAAAACCGCCAAGTCACATGTGAGTACATAATTCTACACACTCTTTGGGCATATATAAATAAAATATTTTTTTACCTGTACTTTTACTGCCCTGTGTGCTGTATCAGCAATATCGAGCCATTTAGATTTAATTTTTTGCCATCCATTGCTTGTGACTTCTATATTTTTTACAACATGATCGCTGCTTTTGTCCTTAAAGTAGTTCCTAGCGGTTACAGTTTATGGGTGACATTTTCAACATTTTCTTGTGATAGGTTTTACAAGAAAGAAATGCTCAGCCAGAGGTGCCTGATACCATGGACTTGGAAGGAGAAGAGTTTGGGGTGATTCGGGAGAAATATATTACATCAGTCACTATCAACCCTGATGAAATTGAGCAGATTGAGAAGGAGACAAGAGATGAAGCAAACAGCGAGAATTGGTTCAGTCAAAGAAAAGGTAAGATTCTAGTGGGCATTAACTATATGAGGTTTGCATTTTAGATTTAGGCTGTGTGCAACAAAGGTACTGTGATTGGTTTTGAAAGAGCAACATTTAGATTATGGTGTAATGAAAAAAATAGGAAAACACTAGTACGACACAATACACATCAACTCAAATGTATATGACATCATAGGTTTTTTATTGGTATTGTTTTTAGGAAGAATAACAGCTTCCAATGCAGGTCACATTGTTCGCATGAAGAATGACCCCCCCCCCCTCCCAGACAACTTGTTAAGGAAGATGCTGCAGTATGATGCACCAGTGTCTTGTCCTGCCATGAGACATGGAATTGAACATGAAGAAGTTGCCAATAATTGCTACAGGTACATGTACACACATATTTTGAAGAGATTATTTAGTCATTACAAACACTAACTCGTGTTATAACAATAATAATAATAACAATTTTAACTTGCACATTTATGTTTTGCATTTTACGGTAATCAGTAAGTTTTAACTTTACCTTGTACAAATATTGCTACACATGTCATGCCCAATGTAGAGGGGGCAATTTAAGATTGCATACATGCCCATGGTAAGACAATTTGAACATAATCTGATTAAGTTGTACACGTACTGTATATTTGCACTGTTACCATATGAAGGATATATTTTAACTGTAAGTTTTCAAAACTTTATGTAGGATGTTGAAAGAAGTCACAGGGTCTCCAGTCAGTGTGGACAAGGCAGGGTTGGTGATTCACCCACACCACCATTTTCTGGGTGCTTCTGTAGATGGGATGGTGACTGACAACAGCTTCAACCCCCCACAAGGAGTATTGGAAGTCAAATGCCCCTTTTCCCCCCAAGATCAGACCCTTCAGGGGCTAGTGGCTGCCCGGAAAGACTTTTGTCTTGTCCCCGGAGCAGAGGAAGTGCCATGCTATGCAGTGCATGAGGACGAGGCGGCTATGGAAATTTCTCGGAAAACTTGCAAGCTTAAGCTTAATGAAAAACACATTTATTACTGTCAAGTCCAGATGCAGTTACCAACAGACAGTGGTGCGATTTTGTAGTCTTTTTAACATCAGGAAAGAGGGAAGGGTGCCTGTCTGCTGAGGTATTTTTCCAGAGAGTGCACTTCAATAGTGTCTTGTGGCAGACTACAATTTTACCCAAGATAACAAATTTCTACAGGAATGCTCTTGTTCCAGAGATTTTGAGTCAACAGGTGTTTAGAGGCAAGAGATTGTACATACATTCAAATCATTATAAGTACAGGTCAAAGTGTTAGACATTGAGAAATTATGAGCTGAAGTGTTACAACTTTGGTTGATTTGTTTTCTTTAATGGAAACCTTTATTTATTTATTTATTTATTTATTTTTTTTATTATTATTATTTTTTTGTTTAACATGTGGTAATATTCTCTGTATTGAAAGCATTTAATTTATAATGGCAATTTTTGGTACTGAGCATTTTGGTACTGAGCATTTTTAGTAAATGTATAACTGTGATGATATTTGAGAGATTTTATTATTCAACACATGTATTACTTATTATATACAAGTACTTAGTTGGATGAGATATATTCTCCATTTTAGTATTCAACACATTGTATTACTTATTACATACATACATGTACATGGTTGGATGAGATTTATTATCCATTTGGTGTTTTTACCATATTTATGTGTAGTTAACACAATATGTGATGTGCCTTTTATTGTAGCTTGGTGCTGTATCATTAAGATTAAGCCTCCAAAGAAATTGTGATGGTGCTTCTTAAGTTAACATTCTAGAAAGTATTTCCTTCCAAACAAGTTTTGTTACTGTGATTAAAGTTATCTGTGATGGAACATTTTTACTTTCCAAATAAATTTAATAAGATACATGTATTCACATTCTTGTTTCTCCAGTTTCAGACATCCTTGTTTATCAGAACAGTCTGGACAGTTTTCAGTCTGCACATGATAATTTTTCCAGTCATTCAGATAATAATGGTTCTGTGCATAGGTTCACTAAATAACAACATATGACCTACATCTTGTTCAAATCACTAGCCACTGAGTTTGGAAAAACATAATTCAGTAAACGATAGTTTTTAATTCTCCTGATAACACGTTCCACATGAATTCTGCTCGAGCCTGGCAATTCTTCTTTATATCTTCCTCTTCCACAGGACTAAGTTGTCCCTGAGAACCAATAAATGGAGGGACATTCAATTTTACCTTCCTCTTCGAGATATTCATCAATTAGGAATCCTCGGTCTGCCATGACAGAATCCCCCTCATCCATCAGATCCACAAGTCAACTAAGTTCTGCCATTTCTTTGTCTGACATGCGCCCAGGAGCCAAATCTGATACATAACTGATAAGTCCATTTGGTGCTATTCCCACAAGTCCTTTGCCAGTATTTTGACTTTTGTAGGAAGACTACGTCTCTGACTGTGTAATGTATCCTGATGGCTTTTCAATGAAAAGTTCTGTACAGTCCAAAATGACCCTCGTAGATGGATACTCTTCTTTGAAGCACTGTGGCATAGTAGCTTCTACAATTTCCTTAGATGGCCAGATGGGCAACTGCCTGAAGCGAAAATGCATCAGCTCAAAATATGTCCAGCAAATCCTTGAAACTGTTGCTACACCTACTCCCAAATTATTCAGCTCATTATGCATTAGAAGATTGTCTTGAGTTACAAAAGTTAGTTAATATATTCAATAATGAAGAGAAGAATATCCTTTTATATGTTTTTTTTATTATTTCATCCCAGTCAAATTACTAAATCCTGTGTTCAACTTTTAGCAAATTGTTTAGAATACCTCATTTATAAAAGAAAATTCTCCATGTGTAGGCAAAAAAAAATCAAGTTGTCGGGGTTAGCATATCAGCATGTGCATTTCAAAGAGAATATAGACGGTCTTTATTTTCTTCTTGCTGAAATTAATCTAAACACAAATAAACCACTACGAGTAACAATATGTATGAATGTAATAAGAAATTTGTAGGATTTCTTTAACGCCTAATTGTTTTTAAAATGTACAGACTTGACATTTAATATGGAATATTTCAGTTTCGGTAGTATGCTTTGGTAAAAATGCGTTCTTTTTTCAAAAAACTCCGATCTCGTATAAGATTTGTGAATGGAGACGTGTGTAGTCAGGTGTGTCGCTACCAATTAACTGACTGCCATGTCTGTTGCGCTGCTACATTATGTAATATGCAGTGATTTAATTGGGTATTGTTCCTTTGGGCTGGTCAAAGCTTGGCTTAGGCAAAGCTTGGTTATATCAAAAAAGTGTCCATATGTCGGCAAATACTGTATAGAGGAATTTGAAATTTTGCATGCAAGCGGTCAGTTGTGCAGTGCGTTAAATGAGCTAAGTAGTGCTATACAAATTTGTTAAACTGTGGCAGAATGGCGCAAAAAAGACAGACATCACCAGACAGATTATAGTGCCAAACGGAACTGTCCGCACAAATTGTAGAGTGATGCCCAGACTGATGTACCTACACAGAGGTCACACTTGATGTATCGAAATCTTACCTCCAGGGTACAGGACCCACTGTCTTTCGGGATACGCTGCTGCAACTAAACTAAAACCAACAGGTCCGTTCAGAACGAGGGGTAAATTGCTACCAAAATGCGTTTTTCAAGGCCCTTAGTGACCACCAAACTGGTTTTAGCAGGTTAGAATACCAGACGACCTCCGAGGTGCTCACTGTATGCAGCAAAACATCGTCGTCTGTTTCTCTAATGAATTGGGGGACCATGACCGTTTCTGGGTAGAACACTGAAACCGCGTGGCTTTCTTCATTGAGGTCAGATTTCACCTGTACCGCCCAACTAGTCAAAACAGAGTTTACAGACATCCAGAAGAGGCCTACGACGAAGCATGTGCCGCGTCTAAAGTGGCACGGGGCATTGACAGTGTCAGTTTTTGGAGTGGATACCACATTGGCGCCAAAACACCAATGGTAGTCATTGACGAAAACCTGAACCAGATCAAATAAAGGAAAAATCTGGGAACCACTTAACTATCATTTGATAGGGGGCACCTTAGGAACAATTTTAGGTTGCATGGTGAGATTGCCGGTTCACACAGAGCACTTTTAATAGCAGATAACTTACAGAACCAAGGGAATGAGCAGCTACCCTGGTCATTAAAATCGCCACATTTGAACCGCATAGACAATATGTGGGTTAGCCATTACTCGCCGAATCAACGGCCTACATGTCCTACAAGAAAACTGGACCAAATTGGACAAGTTTTGACCGATACCTGGAATGTTCTTCCAGATTGAACTCTTAAAACCTATCCCAAGGAATGCCTTGCCGCTTGAGAGCGCTGGTAGCAGCCAGAAGATGTCAGGCGTAAAAGCGACCGTTTCTGTGGATAGACACTGACATAAGAGATCCTTTGTGGAGCGTGTGACTCTTTTACAGGTGATAATTTGGAAAATATGGAGATCCAAAATATCTCTTTTTATGGTCGTCGTATGCCATAGAATAAGGAATGTATTTATGTTTGCTTCACTGTCGAACTCAATCAATGAACTGATGTCACCATGACAACAAAGAGATAATTTAAAGTTATTAAAACACGATTTTAATCCTTATTTTCATTTATCAGTCAGCAAAATAGGAAAAAACTAATGAAATTGATTTGGAAAAAAATATTCTATATTAAATGTCAAGTCTGTATATTTATTATTTGATTTCCTGTTGTAAATATAATATGAGATCAAAATAAACTGATAACCAAAAGACGCACTTAGATGAACGAATATTCTAACTTATTTGTCACCTGGGCCAACCGGTCGTAAGTTAGGCACAGCAGCTGCGCCGGTGTCAAGTACCAGAAGGTCCCCCATGACAGAAAGTCCGGGACCCGTTATTTCAGAAACCAGGGGTCCTACGGACCCCTGGTTTCTGAAATAACGAGTCCCAGACTCTGTATCATGATAATTGAATATAATATACAGGGTCCCCCGGACCCTGCATTTAACCGGACCCTACGTTTCATGACAGCTATCACGAAACACAGAGTCCGCCCGTCATACAGAAGAACTTGGTCTAAAAGCTAGGGTCCTACTGTAGAATAGTAGATATTTAGTAAAAGCGCTTTATATTGACAATCTGGGTATAATAGAATTATAAAAAAGCAAACCCTTGATGCAAGTAAATGTAATATAACAAAACGGCGGTGGTTTGCACAACGACCTGGTGGTGTAGTGGACAGCGACACGGGAGATAAGCCTACTATGGTATCCAACGACAGGGAAGTATGCAGAAATTAAACAATATGTTGGTTCGAGTCCCACATTAGAGTCACTCTTGTTTTTTAAATCTATAGTTAAATATTTAACTTACTGTCCATTTATAATGTGTCATTCCGCAATAATATGTGTTATACTCACTTTTGATTACATTCCATACCTTTTTTAATTGGACTTACTTAAAATATTTCACACATATCCCATTGCATTGTGATGCTTTGGACTATATACACGCGTGACTTATTTGATTACCACTCGCACATG